ATTCAAAGTGTTTGGAATAAATTTTGATCAGTTTTGGGTATTTTGGCAAAATTTATGAATTTTGGCCAAATTTGGGTCCGAAGGGCAGTTAGGTAATTTGGAGGTGCCTAGGGGCAAAAGGCCAAGTTGGGCATTTCAGGTGCAATTGGGTGGAGAACCATTTTGAATGAGTCATGGACCAATGAAATCTCCATTTTGGGTTCCCATATATTTTTCTTAGCCAGAGTATTGTGAGGGTATGGTGAGGGTATTGTGAGGGTATTGTGAGGGGATTGTGTACCTTAGCTCCAAACCAACACCCAGGGTCAATCCTAAGGTCAAGTAGCCCTATAGGAACTCTCCTTGAGTTCCCTCATAATGATCTTACCTACTAAATGCTAGAGGTTAGGACCAATATGTGGAACTTCAAGTTGAGTAAAGAGAAGAGTTTTGAGTTTCTAATGGTGAGGGTATCTTTTCTAGTTTTCTAAGACTAGTCAGTAGGAAAGTCCTATAGCTAAACCTAGGCTACTAAAGAAATTTCTAGACCTCAACCAAAAGTGAGGTCAACAAGGTATTAAGGGTCTTTTGGCCCTTCTCTCTAGACATATCCCCTGTAGGGAGAACTCTCTTCACTTTTCTTTTGTAGCAACCACTTTCAATATATAAAATAGGTCACAGAGTCTGGGAATATCAAAGTTTGTCTCAGTGGGGACAATTTTTTCTTACTCTTTTTTTTTCTCTCTCTCTCTATCTCTCTCTAACTTTCTCTTGCAATTCTCACCACTCTGATCCATGGGCATGCTCACAGAAAATATCTGGATTGAGCATCCTAAAATCACCACACTGTGAACCCAACCATCACCATCAAGGGGCAAAGCCCCAATCTGAGCGTCCTCATTTACTTCAAGAAACTAGAATTAATAAGAAAGAAGAAAAAAACCGTGTCCTATGACAAAAAAAAGCACATACACGGAATCCTTTCCACCTTGGATTAAGTAGTTATGTCAACAGTCAGTGATGGATGATCATTAGCAATTCTTTTCTTTATGTCCAGTTGTTCACCTCCACCAGTACATCGGCCTGTTGAGAAGCACTTGCGGTCTCTGGTTGACCTGGAACGTCAACGGACCACCTGCCAAACCATCCAGCTCCTTTCCAACACTAGGTTGTGTTGTTGGAGATAAGCGATATACATCAATTGATGTGGTATGTATATAAATCAAATAGGAGAATGATCGACAAAGCGAAAAATAGAACAAGAAAATTCACACCAGAAAAGAACAACACAGCAGAACAAACAGATTTACGTGGTTCGCCTAATTGCCTACGTCCACGGAGTTATAGAGGATTTTACTACTTAAGGAATTTACATCAGTCGATCACCTCGACTTACAACCTCGACTTAACCTCGACTTACAAGAGGAATCTCTCACTTCGTTGCTCTCTCTTCTTCTCTATCTTTTCTTCTCTCTCTACACCGAGATACATCAAATAAACTCTACACCGAGATACACCGAAGAAGATAAACTTACAAGAGAAATAAACTCAATTTCTCTTCTGCCACAGGCCACCAAGAAGAAACCAAGGGAGAACAATCTTCTTATTTTTTCTTCTTCAATTTATCTTGAGGAAGCCTGAAAAAGAATACCAACCGTGACTTGACTTAATATGAATGAGAGCCATGTGATACCTTTTATCACGAACAGGAGGGAGCGAAGAGATGCTTCGCTTCATGAAAGAGGAAGGCTGGAGAGGTTGGTGCCTACGGTTTGTGACTGGACACTTCGTCGCGCGCGCAGGAGTGTGTGGAGGCGGGATCACGAATGAGAGATCGCAACATTTCGCGATCGGAAGAGCAGGAGCGGAGGGCGTCCGAACCGAGCTCCAGCATAACAAATCTCCCACTTGGAGACTGATTCATCTGCTACAACATCTTCTTCCTCAAACTGATATCCTCCACTGGGGTGTCACCCTTTTCTTCAAACATGAATCCTCCACCTCTATAACTCAAAGCTTCTGTCTTCACTCCAGAAGACCAACTGAAGCTGTGCACAACTTTAGTTTCTCAAGAGTAACTCCTTCAGTCAACATATCAGTAGGGTCCAAATAGCCTTGCACCTCCAAGCTATTTCCTGGATTTTCTTGTTTCTGCTTACAACTCTCACTGTATGAGTAATATTCTACCTTTGTTGAAAGTCTTTTTCAAAAAGCCTAGCCTTGTACTTCTTACTGTCATCTCGCTCAATCTTCACCTGGTATACCAACTTGTTGTGTAATGCCTTCTCCCTGGTGGAAGTTCTGCTAGCTCCCACTTGCTCGAACTTTCATATTGCAAGATTTCTTCATAACTCTGTTAACTCTGTGGTTCTCCACCATCAGTATGTGAAACAATAGGAATGGGTGCCCCAGACTCACTCTCCTCTTCACTTCCATCATCAACAAAACTATGGACTGCCAGCAATAATGCATCATGTACTTCTTCTGACACCACAGTTGCACTATTATTCTTCATATTCTTGGGATTCTTATAGTTCCTCTTTATATGGCCAGTCTTGCCACACTTCCAACAGGTTGCCTACTAACCAAACTTTGATTTTGATCCCCTTTATTTGAGTTCCTGTCATGTCATCTCCCTCTGAAATCAACATTCAGTGCCGAACTCGAACCTGAGATCTCGCCAGAATCTTTCCTGTGAACCTCCTCAGCCAAAATCAAATCACGAATATCATCACATTTCAATTTAGATTTAACTGCAGAACTGCTAATTGTCATCCTCATGGCTTCCCAACTATTTAGCAACGATGCCAACAATATCAACATACGCATCTCATCATCAAAATTAATTTTAACAGACGATAATTGATATGTGATAGTATTGAAACCATTCAGGTGTTGAGCAACAGAAACACCTTCCACCAATAGCTTATTCATCAAGTACATATTATTGTTTGTCGATGGCTTTTCATATATATATATGATAAGGCTCCTATGAGATCTGCAGTCATTTTCTCCTTGACGACGTTGTGTTCAACAGACCTTGATAGGGTCAATCAAATAACCCCCAGAACCTATCGATCCAACAAATTCCATTCAGCCTCATCCATCCTTTTAGATCTTTTCCTCAATAACAGAAGATCGAGTTTCTCCCATAGAGGTAGTCCTCTATTTGTATCCTCTAATAACCAAAATCTGTGTCATCAAAGTTCTCGATCCCTAAAACCTTTACGTAATTAGCAGCCATCATTCTTCCTCAGGTCCGATCAAAGCTCTGATATCAGTTTGTTGTTGGAGATAAGCGATATACATCAACTGATGTGGTACTTATATAAATCAAACAGGAGAACGATCGATGAAACAAAAAATAGAACGAAAAAATTTACACCATAAAAGAACAACACAGCGGAACTCACAAATTTATGTTATTGGCAAATTGTCTATGTCTATGGAGTTGCAGAGGATTTTACTACTTGAGGAATTTACACCAGTTGATCACCTCAACTTACAAGATAAATCTCTCACTTCGTTGCTCTCTCTTCTTCTCTCTCTCTCTTTGTTTTTCTCTCTCTACACCGAGATACACCGAAGAAAATAAACTTACAAGAGAAATAAACTCAATTTCTCTTCTGCCACAAGCAACCAAGAAGAAGTCGAGGGAGAACAATCTTCTTCTTCTTTCTTCTTCCTTCACCGCAAGGAACCACTTCTTGCACTTTCCTTCCTTCTATCCTGAGGAAACCCGAAGAAGAACACCAACTGTGACTTGACTTAATCTAAAGGAGAGTCGTGTGATACCTTTTATCATGAACATGAGGGAGTGAAGAGATGCTTCGCTTCATAAAATAGGAAGGCGAGAGCGGCTGGTGCCTACAGTTCGCGACTAGACGGTTCGTCAAGCGCGCACGGGAGTGGGCGGAGGTGGGATCACGAATGAGAGATCACGACCTTTCGTGATCGAAAGAGCGGGAGCGGGAGGGGGTCTGAACCGGGCTCCAGCATAACAGGTTGATCGTTCTAATCTGAAGCCTCGCAGCTTGAATCCGATGACTCTTCGTGCTCCACTCGCTTGGACGACTACAACTTCTTAGGCATTTTATTCTCCCACTTCTGCTTCCTTGACTCGTCTTCTAGTTGTCGTTGCTTCTTTATCATAATAGTAGCCAACGTCTTCCACCGATCAATGGGCTTGAGCATTGAATCAATTCCTTTCTCCATAAGAACGAAACATAGAAGTCGAGCAGATGAAAGGAAAAATACATACTCAAGATATTGATTTTATAACGACACATAGCTTCCTTGACTCGTCTTGTAAAATCAAATATGTAATTTTACACTTTATTTCCTCTATCTTCTATAAACAGGGAGACCATATCATATTCATAGAGGTTTTTTCTCTCTTCTCTCTAGACCCATCCTCTATAGGGAGAGCCCCCTCCCTTCCTTTTTTTGTAACTGCCACTTCCAACTTTTAAAATGAGTTATAGAGCCCATGAATTCTACAGTTTGCTCGTTATGCACTCTCTCCTTTTCTCTCTCTCTCTCTCTCTCTCTCTCTCTCTCTCTCTCTCTCTCTCTCTCTCTCTCTTTAACTCTCGCTCATGTACCTCACGGAACAGATTTAGATTCAACACTTATATAGCAAAATCTTTGCAGCAAATCAAGTAATTACCTTTACAATTGATAAAGTAAATCACACAATTAATCATATAGTTTGTAAATCATACAAAATTAATACTTGGCATGATTTGAGAATCATAATTTAAACATAATAGAACCAATAAAGCATCGCAACTCTATATTGATTGCAAATAAATTAAAGCAGGCATTAATATCCGAGCACACAGCTATCCAAGAGACTAAGTGAGAAGAAATTTTGATTGCTTCATATTATTGATACAATAATTATACAACCATGCACTGAAAGTCTAAAACTAATGCATATCCATATATAATAAAAAACTAATTAAATTAATGCTCTTTCATAAAATACTAGTTTTCTTAACCGGAAGGCATCCAAGGACACCTTATAATACTCCCACTTCAACTATAAAACTCCCTTCTCCCCACCAACCACCACTACGCCCTCAACGTGCTCGACGAAATTCCCGATTCACAATGCCTTCTTCCAACACCGACCTCTCCAACCTCCTTTCCCACGCCCTCCCCTTCCTCCGCGCCGAACCCCATCTCGTCGACCCCGAACTCCCCAACATGATCTCCGCCATCACTGCCGTCGGCGCCGGCGAGTGCTGGCACAAAGACAACTGCTTTCTCGGCCACCTCCTCGACGTCTACCGCATCCTCAAGCTCTGGGGCGCCCCAGACCCCGTCGCCCGCTGCGGCCTCTTCCACTCTGTATATTCCAACTCCTACGTCGACCTTGCCATCTTCGATCCCTCCAAGGGCGGCCGTGAACTCCTTCGATCGATTGCCGGAGTGAAAGCAGAGAGACTCGTGCATCTGTTCTGCGTCGTGCCTAGGCAGAGTCTCATACATGATGACTTGCTATTCCGGTATACGGAAGAGGAGCTGGTGAAGCATTTGAGGGGGTCGGAAGACTCGGTGAGGCGGGCGAGGGAAGAAGGAGTGTTGGATGAGACGGAGCCGTGGCGGAGGAAGATGGTGGCTGTGTTGCCGGCTGCTGGAGTTACGGTGAAGCACATTAGTACAGGAGAAGATGTGGCTTTGTCTCGGCGGATGGTGGCGACGTTTCTGCTCATGACAATGGCTGACTTTTGTGATCAGTTATATGCTTTCCAGGCATGGAGGGATCTATGCTATGATAATTGAATATTTTCTAATAAATTTTATACCATCTCCATAATAGTAAACGACTTATTAGTAATTTAACCACGACATGGCCTGACTTTCAGGACGAGCTTTTCGACAACCACGACGGCCAAATGAACTTCTCCGGCAACAAATCCACCGCACTCTGGCCTGGCGACGGCCGACCCGGTCTATGGATGAACTCCCTCTCCCGCATGGGATCCCTCTACAACCTCATTCTCCGCGAAGAAAACCTCTACATCCAAGCTCGGAAAAACTCAACCCACCCACAACAACAACACGACATTCTCCCATTCCAGAGAGACGAGGACTTAGAACTAATCCTCCCTCCGGTTTTCTCCAACTGCACCAGAGTCTTGGGAAGAGAATCTCAGCTCCTGGCCAGAGACCTCTACTGGAAGGCGATGACGGGGCCGGCCAATATGGATATGGCTACGGCGGAGAGACTATTGAAGCAATGCTGCAGAGAGAATGGATACGTTGGGGAGCCGCATTTGGTGCTGGGGCAGGTTTATATGGCGGAGGAGAGGTATGAGGAGGCGGAGAAGGAGGCGGAGGAAGGGCTGAGGTTGCTGCTGGAGTGGGGGAGTACGTGGGATAAGAGGATGAGTTGGGAGGGCTGGGTGGCTTGGGGAAGGCTTTTATTGCAGAAGGCGAAGGCCAGATCTTGGCCTAAGACTTCTTTTGGGATCATTAGTCTCGGTCTGGTGAGGTGAAACAAGGGATATGGTAACGGATAAGTTGATTTCGTGCAGGAATATGTCTGCTATTCATAAAAGTTCATTTAATTTAAAATAAACGATGATCAAAATGTACGTACGTGAAGTGAATTTTTTACATGACTATGATATTCTGATTCACGTATATATAATTTCGATCTCCGGGGAGTTTAGAAAGTATGTGGATATAACTGAAGAGCAATAAGATTACTTCCAGAATTACAAGGTTACTGCATGTGTAAAACGAGGAGCAAAATTTAAGTGTCGTATATGAACATTCCACCAATACATACATATACATACATACGTACACATATACATATATGTATGTATATGTATGTATGTATCTATATATATACATAGAATATATTTGGAGTTACAAAAATAAATAAAATAAAATCTTAATTAAACTTAATTAATTCTAATATATGTTATACTATACCACAATTTTAAGTGTTTTTGTCTTTATTTATTTATCTACTTTGGTTAATGTATGCTCTTTATTCTTTATGATTTTGTATATTTATGTTTTGGGTGTGTATTATTATGTCAATAAGAGATTACAAATATAAGATAATAAAGTGTAATAATATAAAATCAGAGGGAAAAAATATGCGCTATTCCATAATAAAAAATTTTACATTATTTAGGTGGATTGTACATGAACCTTATTCACTCTATGGTCAACTTATACTTGGCTGGGTCAACACATTGTCAAATTTGTTCAAATTGGTAAGTAAATTAATTTAAATATTTTTTGAAAGTTCAGAGACTAAATAAACTAAACTTAACACCATTCAAATTGGCCTTTTTATGTTCACAAATAAATATTTTTATTGTTCGGAAAGTAACTTATCAAATATCCCATTATAAATCCTTTTTACATCTCTAACTTGTTGGCTGGTTAGGAAGGGAAGCAATAAGAATAGCTATACAGAGAATCTCAAGTAACAAATGACGGGGGCGCATAAGCAAAACAAAAGGATTCAAGTGAACACTATTATGTTATATATGATATATTTTTAAAATGAAATTTTATTAATTAAAATTTATTTTATTACACATATTTTAATTTAAATTTCAAAATGCATTACAATTTAATGCAATTCCTCTATTATTTTTTTTTTATTTTAATGAAATAGTTATTAATATAAATTTATATTATTTGATCATAAAAAACTTATTTGGGACTTTTTTGTTGTCTTTTTTAATTGTTGTTAATAGATTAGATATTAATTCAAAAAATATTCAGTTGTTTGTTTGTTTAAATTTATAAATTCAATTATTAAAATATTTAAATGAAAAGCACAGAAAATATTTGAATTTTTGAGTAGTATCTTTTGTTTGTTTAAATTTATAAATTCAATTAATAATATATTTATATGAAAAATCAAGTAGACATTTGAATTTAGTTTATTTATTAACTCGTTAAAGTACTCAGGCAATTAATTATAATTGTAAAATACAATTTATTATTATTTTTATCAAAAAAAGTATGAGCATAAAGTAAAATTTTTTATTATTTTTATCAAATAAAACACTACCGGAAAATGTCCAATTAGTATCAAAAAATTTTGACGCTAATTGGGCACTTTCTCGATGCTAATTGGGATCAACATCAAAAAAATTCTGGCGGCTAAATCATTTTGACTCAGCATTTGAGTCAAATTTTAATTTGCATCAGCATTTGAGTCGAAAAATTTTGACACTATATATTTGCATCGGGAAAAAGAGATGCGTAAAAGTACTCGTGCTTTTGCATCGAACATGGCCAACACTAATTTGTGTCCGCCATGTTTAGCGCAGATGCATTGAATTTGCGTTATCCTTTGTCGAACTGATGCAAACTTGTAACAAAAAAAATGCAGCAAGACGATCAAATATCCATAGATATATACAGAGCAAACACAAGAAACATAATATCACATTTATATATCATCAGAACTGATAAAAAAAAGCTCTGACATATCTAAAAAGTGATACCAAATTAAATTGATGATAAATCGATCAAACTGTTCAATGTTCACAACCACAGAAACTTGAAGTTTGATTACGCAAAAATAATAAAAATATATAATTAACCCCTCTGTCAAGGAAACATCATCAAAAACATAATAAAAATCCTATCATCATCACCCTCATACTCATCCTCTTTGACAGACCTCATATGTCGCTTTCTCCTGCGATCAAAACTCTTCGTCGTTGTGCTAAACTATCTGCAACCATCTGTCGGCCTTCACGCACCTTCAGCGCTCTTTATTCATCATCATAAGCCTTCTGGCAAACTCTTCATGATGAGCATGTAATGAGCTAGGGCCACCCACAACTGCACGGGAATATTCGACCTCAAACGTCATTCCCTTTTCTTTGAAGTGGTGCACTCTCTCCTTCTTCTTCCCCACTGCTGCGTCCAAAACTCAAAATCGGACTACCACTGCTGCTGGCGAAATGTGAGGTCTAGCTAGCCATCTCTCTCTTTCTCTTCTGAAGCTACCCATATTCCTCCAATATAACAAAATTCAAACATTAATTGGCATGTTAATGGCCCCTCAAAAAAACTAGAAAATTAATTTTTTTAAACATACAATGACACATCGAGAGTGGTTGGATACCCACTGCTATATACCCACGTGGCGATGTGTAAGGACATGCAACTCTACCGTGGATGACTCTCTGTCAAGCTTCTTGGCCTATATACATGATCAGATAAATATAGGAGTCACAAAACTACATAAATCTGTAAGTTTTATAATTTTGAGAAAATCTTACCAGCCTTAGGTAATCTCTAATGTGGAGTGCAACCCCTCTAACGTCTGTCATCTAATTTTGCTGATTTGTCTATCTCTTCCTCTGGTGTTCTGGAGTGGCCCATGCTAGGTTTAACTCGGCCTAGACTTCCTCGCCAACCCACGAGGGCCTCTGCCACTTGTCACACGTTGTAGTTAACATATCCCCAAGCATAAGCTTGGCACGAACCTCAAAAATTTGTCAGATCGGGTGATGATGTTCCGACAACTAGTATGACTCTGCAAATTTGAAAGTATGTAAGCTTAATTAGCATAAAAAGTGCAAAAATTAGCCTTTTATTTCAAATTAAAATATCATACCTCAAACTCCACAATACATATCCCGAGTGGTAATTAATATTTGTTTCCATGAGCAATATGACTGATCATACATGATCTGGATGATCTCTGTGATCTGCATCATGGGTAGCCTGGAGGGGTAGAACCTGCAAATGAAACATTAGGTATATTATAAAATTGAAATTACTATACTGTAAAAAATGAATGTTAACTTATGAGTAACCCTCAACTCAATATAAAATCTGTTTGTAGCATTAGTCATCTCAGGTGCTAGAGTCGAGGAGCCTAACAGTGGAAATATGGTCCACGAGTGGGGGGTGGTTCTTGCGAGGGATCTGGTACGGGAGGAGGGGCAACTGAAGGGATCACCGGAGTGGCTGTGCGAGTGTCATATCTGACAGCGCCATTGATGGCCTTCTTCAGTCTCTGATATGTGTTTCTCAAAGTCCCTTGAATGTGTTATTCTACTACAAAATCCGGATAACTGCATCAAAGTGTTTTCAAGCTTCACCAGCTGAGAGACGAGTCATTGTATTAGCACTAGCAAATATGATATTATGTCATGTCCTGTAGGAAGTCTTGCACATAGAAGCAAACCTTCATTGGAATTGTGGAATGAGAGGAAAATAAAAGAGGCATTTGTAAGGAATATTTTTTGAATTTTAATCTTTCTTCCCCTTGATTTGAACCTATTAGCATTCTAAAATCTACATTTCATCTCGTGTGCATTTTCTCTGTAATATAACATATAGTCATTGATGCATGAATCTATCTTTTCAGATAGTAGCCCCAACATCACAACTAACTTTTTAGTTATGTATAAATCTTCTGAAACTAAATTATCTGCAGGGTTGATCTATTTTAATAATGTTACTACCTGATCATAACATTTCATGTGCATGATGAAATCTAATTTGATACCAGCATTCTAAGGGCGGCCAATAACTCTTTTTGCGGAGTGTGTTCTTCCCACAGTGGTTGTAGTGCAACATTTAATAATTCATAGAATTATTGCACTTCACTATTCAATTCCTAGTCATTATCAGGCACACTCCCAACAAAATGTGCTTTGTTCACATTATCAATCATTTTCTCATACATTCTAGATTCATGAACAGTTGGAGGGGCATAACATGATGAGGCTCAACATGATCGTAGTGAACATCTGGTTAAAATTCACCATGTGAAGTTTAATACAAATAATCAGGTTTAAATCCTTTATGTTAGAGTCCAACTTCACTTCTTCAAGTGACTAGTATACTAGATTTTTGTACTTTGCATATGGGCGTCAAAACCTACCTTCTTAAAGATAAACGAGCGGTTGTGAAGCCACATGCATGAAATCTTCAACACCAACCAAAAAACTTGTTAGTTAATCTTTTTTCTTCCTGGATATAATTTGTTATACATCTATGACAAGCTCTATAGGAGTGCTAAAATCTTGACACACCCTAATTCTAAGTGCAAGGATCTCACTCAAGTTTATGTGTCGTATCAGTAATATCGGATTACGAGTTCAGAATATTGATCCCAAAGGGAGTGAGGCAATTAGACTTCATCAAAGTTCTAACCTACTAGAATCGATCTAAGCTTGGAAGTAAAGTTGGTTCTAAGTTGTACTAACTAGTCCTACTGAATTACAAACTATCTTATGTTTTACTCCTTCTACTTAATATATTTGAATTTGTGAGATATAAGTTATAAAACTACCTTCTCTTAGATATATGAGGTGTATAGGAAATGAATACTTTAAATTATAAATGTGGCTAGTGACAAATATGAGCAACTCTCATCTTTACCCTCTCACGAGTGCATAAAGAAATTTGGTTAAAATGGTTTTAATTCCTTAAATCCAAATTCAAACTCATCAAAGATTATTTCCCTATCTATTTGCATCTCCCAACAGTTTTTTTTCCTTAACACCCTATAGTTGTGAACACTCTAATTGTTCTTCTATAGCTCTTCCAAGTCATTATGGATCACAATACATTTTAATTAATCACTTGGTCAGAATGAAAAGTAAATGAAGCTTTGAAGAATACTCAGTACATTAAAGATTGAAAATTAATTTTAAAAGAATTCAACTATTCCTACACAATCAACATAATCATCACAAGAGAAAGGTGAAAAAACTACACA